TTTCAATAGTAAAGATAAGAATAAAATAGATTCAAGTTATGAATTAAACTGCATCGTTCAGTTTTTTTAACCATCTCTGACTTATAATATCTTAATTCTGAACACCACCAGGTTTTGTTATCTTCAAAGTCCTGTTAAGGAAGGTTGGTATCTCATGAAGACAGTCTGCATTTTTTTATATGAAATCCAAAAAATTCTTATATTTTATATATCGATAGCATAGTGCATTCGAAAAGAATCATTATGTTCTCATGATCTGTTTGTCAATCGCATACAATGTGTGTATGCTCTCAACAGTTGCCCTGCAGTCTCCATGTTATCAATCGCTTTCTTTCACCTTTATTTCCAACAAAACAAATTGCCCTAAAGACAGTTTGTTGAAGAGAAAAACCACTTTGCCATCGAAGGTCTGAATTTTACCTAGATCTTAAAGTATAACATTCATCGTACCGTTTTTTGTTGATATTTTTTCATATTTCCAAATTTCAAGAGGTAGGATTTTCTGTGTATTCTATGAAGTAATAGGGGAAGGGGGAGGTAGTGGAGCGGGGAATGAACCCAGGGTTCCGACTTAACATCCCTTCGAAATTTTTTTTTGAATATTTTAATAAATCTTTTTATCGTACTTTGATATATCTAATTTACACTGTGTTTGTAGAAATCTCAGGAAACACAATGTCACTCAAGAAATCTCAGGAAACACACATCAAAGTCCTTATGTTCGTTTAGTGAAACGAGCAAAGTGCTTTTACATCAAATTTGCATAGGTTTCAGAAAAAAATTATACTGTTCTGTAAAGAAAAATCTTGATCACTTCTTTTGCCAGTTTGTTGTATACCTTGTTCTCATTTGCCAGTTTGACGTTATTTAATTAGATATGACAGATGAAGTGGAAGCGGAAGACGCTTACTCTTCAGGTACTCCTGATCTTATTCTTGTACGTTTTAAGGAGTAAATCTTCCTTTCGTTCACACAGTGCCCTGACTGTACTGGTTTTTAGTTTGGATAGGGATTCTGTAAGGTTTATATCTTGTTATTCTACTGCTCCAGTAACAATGACTATTTACCACATGTAAGTTATCCAGGCGTTACATAAACATGACATTACGTTACCAGTGATCTGGCGAATTTTTACTAACGAAAACAATGTATGTTTTATTTCCTGCAATTAGAATAACGCTGATAGAAAATATTGATTCCCGATTGTCCCTGTAACAAGATGTGCTCTGATGTATGGGGCATTTGAAACGTCTCCTTTCTGAAAAAATATTATTAACGGAAAATAAATCGTCGATTAATATTGCTACTTGGGAGGATGTTGCAAATAGCGCTGGACATGAAATAAGACATGTTTATCGATCGATATTAGAAATATTGAATAAAAAAGACCAAATCGATGGACAGATTTCTTCCATGGCGAAATTGGCGCTTGAAGTTTGTTGACGATGTCATTTCCTTGTGTTTATGCAAAGTTGTTTTTAGAATAAACAAAGAGAGAACATTGATATCGTTTCACAAATATTTGGACATAACAATTTGGTGCAGGGGATTTGAACAAAGACGCAATGCCTGGTTCGCGGATTTCGATTAAAAAATACAACTCTCTCATATCTGTTATAATGATGTGTCCCAAGTCACCGGGTATTTGCTGCTGGTAGACGTGATGCATCTAATTTATCAACCATAATTGGACAAAAAGCACACAAGTGACAAGTGACAAGTGACTTCAAAACCGAAGCTTCCGTCAAACGTCATTATCTGATATCGCTTTCTGTTCAGGTTTAAAAACTAGTAACAATATTTCACCGATACCATTATTTGTACTTCAACACATTGGCATAGTTAAACGAAAGTCAAGCTAAACATCTCATTTGAATCATTAGCCCGATAGTTCATTGTCATTGTATTGTCCGGCCAACGGATTAAAACCACAGACTATCATATATCAAAGCGACAAATATGGCATCAAAGTCCGAGGCGACTAATGGGCTTCCTCTTGTAGACTAACGAAACCCGTAACACAGTCAGCTGTATGATCAAAGATATACAGACGGCTTGTGGTGTTTTGGGTTAAATAAAGATTATCTGTAGGTGATAACGAGGGAAACGGAAAGCAAAGGTCACACACCTGTACACTGACAGCGATGGTTTGGTTTTGTGATTATGATTAACAATTAATTTTTATTTTTATTTAATTTATGGTTGATAATTAGTCAATATCCTGAAATTTAACATTTTCGTTTGAAATAAGTAGATACGTGTGCACTAGACGGAGGTGTTTAATATCAGTTAAAATAAAGCAATTAATCAGCACAGTAGAATAAAAATGTACTGCATGGAAATTCACACTGGTGAATACAGATGATAACGCCTATATCTTCTAAAGCACGTGAGAGGAGGAAAGAAAGGAGCGATAAGGGGGAGGAGGGGGAGTGAAAACAATAATCCTAGCTCTCTGTTCTAGTAGTCAGATTGGAGGGAGGGGGTGCGACCACCACAATCCTAGCTCTCTGTTCTAGTAGTCAGATTGGAGGAAGGGGACGTGACGACCACAATTCTAGTTATCTCTTCTAGTAGTCAGATTGGATGGAAGGGAACGTGACGACCACAATTCTAGCTCTCTCTTCAAGTAGTCAGATTGGATGGAAGGGGACGTGACGACCACAATTCTAGCTCTCTGTTCTAGTAGTCAGATTGGAGAGAGGGGACGTGACGACCATAATTCTAGTTATCTCTTCTAGTAGTCAGATTGGATGGAAGGGGACGTTACGACCACAATTCTAGTTCTCTCTTCTAGTAGTCAGATTGGATGGAAGGGGACGTTACGACCACAATTCTAGTTATCTCTTCTAGTAGTCAGATTGGAGGGAGGGGACGTGACGACCACAATTCTAGCTCTCTGTTCTAGTAGTCAGATTGGATGAAGGGGACGTGACGACCACAATTCTAGCTCTCTGTTCTAGTAGTCAGATTGGAGGGAGGGGGCGTGACGACCACAATTCTAGCTCTCTGTTCTAGTAGTCAGATTGGAGGGAGGGGGCGTGACGACCACAATTCTAGCTCTATGTTCTAGTAGTCAGATTGGAGGAAGGGGACGTTACGACCACAATTCTAGTTATCTCTTCTAGTAGTCAGATTGGATGGAAGGGGACGTTACGACCACAATTCTAGTTATCTCTTCTAGTAGTCAGATTGGAGAGAGGGGACGTGACGACCACAATTCTAGTTATCTCTTCTAGTAGTCAGATTGGAGGGAGGGGGCGTGACGACCACAATTCTAGCTCTCTGTTCTAGTAGTCAGATTGGAGGGAGGGGGCGTGACGACCACAATTCTAGCTCTCTGCTCTAGTAGTCAGATTGGAGGGAGGGGGCGTGACGACCACAATTCTAGCTCTCTGTTCTAGTAGTCAGATTGGAGGGAGGGGGCGTGACGACCACAATTCTAGCTCTCTGTTCTAGTAGTCAGATTGGAGGGACGGGGCGTGACGACCACAATTCTAGCTCTCTGGCATTTTGTTCTAATAGCCAGATGGGAGGAGTGAATGTTTCTGTTCTAGTTGTAACATGGGAGTAAAAAAATAAGATTTGAAGGACGATAGGGCCTGTTTAATATAACTAAAACTACTCAGTGTCATTTACATGGATATAAGAAATTGGAAACGTGTTTCTGCAGGGATATCGATATCAAGTGTCTATACAATATTTAATTTACCAAACGCATGGTATTATGGACCAATTGCAACATCGTTAAGAATATTTTATCTTTACTTTTAGACTTGTCAAAATTATAGGGAAGTATTATGGTCGCCATAATGAGATCATTTTTGTTGTCCTTGTGTCCTACGGATTTGAACAAGTTTAATGCTCCGTTAAATGCTCATAGTGCCATTGGTGTTAACCTTGTTCTTATATGGGAACGTGAAATTACTTACTTGGATTTACCAACGTTTTCATGCAGAGTGCCATCGGCAGAAGATGCCTAAATGTTGACAAGTTTGCTTTTTGTCTTTGTGGATATATGGCTCTAATATCATTAAAAAGTAAAAAAGAAAAATCACAAAAAATAAACCGTCTGCCTGTTAAAGTTATATATGACATATTTGATTAAAATCATGTCTTTAGCGTCAGTATTGTGTTATCATTTCGTCGCCTCTGTACTTTATTAAAAAAGGTTAAAATGAGAATCTTTTTGGTTCAGTTTGGATTGATCAGGTTCTCAGAATGGCCCTTATCGTTTTATCCCTTTCTTCTGTTAAAAGGTACAGAATTTTTCAATCCAATTTTATTGCCACCTCAAACAGATAAGAGACCAACGACGCTCTTTGAATATTAAGACGTCAGCGATTTTTAAATCAAGATATAAATCTATCACGAAGCACTAATGTCTTTTTTCATCGCAGTAAAATTTTAAGAGATTAATGGAAATATTTAGTAGTTCGTGATCATAGCTCAGTGGTTGGTAACATCGGAATCGACTTCCTGGCAGTTATACAAAAATGTTGTCTATTAAAAACTATAACAAGACAATCAATCATAACTCGATCTATTGACAATATCACATTTTAAGGGAAATGCGATCTCTTAATCATAAACGTTTATAAAACAAGTTTGTTTCTGCGATTCACTCTAGAGTCAGCTATACAAATGTTTTTAAATCAACTCAAATTACTCGACTTAAATTATTACAAAAAATCATGAAAATGGTTTGATTACCCTGGCGTCAGCTACACAGAAGTTCTTAAAATAACACAAATTACTCTACTTAACTTCTTACGGAATTTAATGAAAATGCTTCTAACGAAGATTTTTTTTCATAGCAATATTATGTACGATATAAGACGTATTATCGTGTGGTTTCACAGACAACTATAATGACAAATACGTCATATTCTACGTGAAATGTTACGCCATTGTAGCATGGTCCTCGTTTTAACTAGAACAATTAAATATTGTATATATATATTTCATATTTTATTGTATTGCTATGTCGTTTGTTCCAGATTTTTCCGGATTCTTTCATCAAGCTGTTCCCCGATAGATATGATATAGGACTCATCACCTCCGAGTTGCTCATTCATCAGAGAGAAAATGGCGTGTGTGTTGTCATCCAGGATCAGTTTCTTGCCGACGGCTTCCTGGACGGTTTGTGGGCTTTTGATGAGGACCAAGCCGGAAACTTTTCCAAAAACATAGTTATCAGCAGCAAAGACGACTGAGGACCAAGCCGGAAACTTTTCCAAAAACATAGTTATCAGCAGCAAAGACGACTTAAAACTCTTATTTTCAAAGCTTCATCTAATTCATGAAAACGGATGTAAGGTTGTAGTAGTTCATTGTGTGCCAACATTAGCTAAGCGGGTTATTGAGATCGCAGAACTAGCAGATCTGTATACTGCTGGGTACGCGTGGATTTTATTTGAATCGAGTATCACAGAAAACGACGAAATTTTTCCCAGTGGTTTACTTATCATTTCACCGAAACAGGACACAGATCATCTGTCTGAAATTTTGAACAGAAGTCTGAACTCTTTAAAGACTGGTATCCCGTCGGTGTATTCCCATCATGTAGCAAACATTTCTTATTTCCGGGACCATCTCTATAGGTAAGTCATATATTTCCGGGACCATCCGGGACCATCTCTATAGGTAAGTCATATATTTCCGGGACCATCTCTATAGGTAAGTCATATATTTCCGGGACCATCTCTATAGGTAAGTCATATATTTCCGGGACCATCTCTATAGGTAAATCATATTTTTCCGGAAACATCTCTATAGGTAAGTCATATATTTCCGGGACCATCTCCATAGGTAAGTCATATATTTCCGGGATCTTCTCTATGGGTAAGTGATATATTTCCGGGACCATCTCTACAGGTAAATCATATATTTCCGGGACCATCTCTATAAGTAAATAAGATATTCCGGGACCTTCTCTATGGGTAAATCAGATATTCCGGGACCTTCTCTATGGGTAAATCAGATATTCCGGGACCTTCTCTATGGGTTAGTCATATATTCAATCATCTGAAAAGAGAAATAGATCATGAGTTATTCCGTTTGCAAACGACACATAAAAAGTTACTTACCACGGCGATACGTCTATGTTTTAGCTATATAACATCTCTTCAATACAACGAATCCAGTACAGGGCTCTCATTCGACGCCAGCAATAAGAGACGAACAAATATGACCTATGATCTTATCAACAAAAAGGGAGAAAACTCTTGCACCAGCTGGGCCAATGTCGGGCATTTTACCTCCTACAAAAGCGACATTAGATCAATCTTATGGCCTGGCAGTACCATTTTTGGGCCTCTAGTGAACAAAGGGCAGTTTTATCGTGTTGTCACAAGACCTGCCGAACCGATGGTATTTATAAAAAACAAAACAGATGGCGACGAACCCTGTTTGGGAGAAATTCCATGTTACAAACCATTAGGAGAAGGTTTGAAGTATCTTCATCATCCAGATTTGTCTGGCGACACTAACAGAGCGCTATTGAATGTGTCGTACGAGATGTACTGTTGTAGTGGTATCGCTGTGGACCTACTTGATGCACTTTCAAAAGATCTCAACTTCAACTATCTGTTATATTTTCATGAAGACAACGATTACGGAACGTACGAAAACGAGAGTTGGAGCGGAATGATGGGAGATATAACATCCGAACGCGCTGATATTATAATCGGAGCTTTTAGCATAAACTCAGAGCGCTCCAAAGACATCATTTTCACAGAAGCATTTCATGTATCAGGATATTCCATGGTGACTCCATCTGCACGAACGAAACCGGCCATTGACGCTTTCCTAGCGCCTTTGGACTGGTCTGTGTATTTCTGTATTTTTCTTAGTGCAACCGTAACTGGTTTTGCAACTTCCATTTTAGAATGGAACAGTCCATTTGGATTAAATCCGTGGGGTAAGAAACGCAGTAAGAATTATACATTAGGGTCGGGACTTGTGATGGCTTTCTCTGTTCTGTTCGGACACACGGTCAGTACAAAATCTCCGAAGGGATGGCCAAGTAAAGTTCTTCAAAACTTCTGGTCGGGACTCGCCATTTTTATCGTATCAAGTTACACAGCAAATCTAGCTGCTTACCTGGCAGGCAATATCGGTGAAGACCAAATCAGTAGCATCTACGACGAGAAGGTAACGTTGATAACATGAAAAAAAAATCTGTTCAATTGCCACAAAACGTCTTTTTTCAGAATTCAAAATAAACCTCAGAATTTTGTCATAGGATATCAAAGTTTACTGAACTGCATTTCTATTTTCACGCTTCATTAAGTTGCCTCCTTGACGTCGTCCTTTCTAAAGAGTAAATATAAATTTAACTGATATTAATCAGAATTCATTTTATTTCGAATTTCGAATACAGCAATTTTCCGTAATACGATAAAAAATTTTCCTCGTCATAAATTAAGATCAACCCAGCACTGCGTTATTAAACTCACTTTCAAATAATATTGTAGATGAAAACAGCTGCTTAAAGAATTCAATCAGTCCATGATTTTAGTTGTTAAGAAACATGCTGATTTTCAGATTAAGTGACTGTTAATAGCGACATTTCATTGTATTACAGATCAATTCAAAAGCAGTCTCGTCCATGAGGTCCAGCGCCGTGGTAGAGTACTTAAGTAAAATCAATACTCACCTAAGCAGACGACTGATCGAGAGAGATTTCCAATCTACCTCTGACGTCATTTATTACCTGAGGTAAAAAAAACATGAGTTAAGGTAATGAAGAATTTGATTGCTACAGGAAAAGTAAATAGTTCTTTATGTCTCCCATCTTCGTTTTCATAATATTTCCATGCTGGAAGCCGACCAAGTGTTATTACTAAATTAGGTTGACTCCAGATTTGCATGATGGATGTCGTCGATGCAGTAGAAAACGCCTATCATTCATGAACATCTGGTCTATTTCTCCGTGTACTTTCTAAAAGGTCTTTGTGTTAATTCTTTGTTCCCATTTGGCCATATTTTTTCATAATTTGAGTATGTCAACACGTCGAATTTTTCTTTGCTTTCATCCTAACATCAGTATAACGAGAATATCTTTACAATGCTGTATATTAAGTATAACGAGAATATATGTATAATGTTTTCAACGAGGGATAACGAGAATATCTATGATATATAAATACATTTTGTATGTACATTGTGACAAAGGAAATATGAAAATTGAAATATCTACGCATTCGACCATAGTGACTTTGAAACTGTGTCAAGGTCATTCATTTCAACAAACTTAAAATAATTTCACTCTAACATGCTTACAGGTGTACTAAAATGCTGCGTCGATTATCCATCATAAATATATCATACTTAATAAATACTAAATGATTTTCAGATATATGACCGAATCACACACCGCCTTAAATAAACTGAAACCGATATTATCGATGTGTATACCGTTTGTAGAGGCCAGTGTTATGTTTATTCATTAGGAAAGTGGAATCAATGTCAAACACTCTGTTACGGCTACCGGGCGGTCTATATTGACCTAGTGGAGCTCCAATCAATGCTGTATTTTCTGTAACAATCATTTTCTGGACTTTGTGTTGTAATAATATACGTTTTGTTAATGGGCTAGTCGTCTCAATCCCTCTACACACCCAACAATGCCCCTGATTCCGTTTTTGTCACACTGGGTGTTATATTGTGTAATGCATATGTACACGTTTGAAAGCCATACACACAGTACCAGTTAGTAACAACACTCTTTCATATGCGAGTATTGAGGGACACAAAATGTAACTAAAGCTCTCTGGTCAAAATTTTGACACGTGGGTGGTGAAATATACATACGGTACAAACATACTGAAGGGTATTCTCTCTCACGTTATTCTTGAGATATCCCAAAGCATGTCCCGCCTGTCTTTTCAAAGCTCGTGACACACCTAGATTTTCCACTACCGAGTCAATATTGCATCAACCCTGTATGTAAATGTACGTCTGTAATTATGTTTCTGTTTTACGACTGAAAAACAAAAATAATATATATATATATATATTCAATTAATGCGTTTAAAATGAAATCCTAATTAGTTAAGAAACATATCGTGATTTTATTTTATATCTGTCTGAAATGTTTTCTGAAAAATGGAAACCATGACTCTACAATGTATGTGTACTTCTCGACAGATGTGAATGTTTCTCTCCGGGCAGTATTACACAGGTGGACAGGTATACACGTACGCCATATGAAACGTTCACGAGAGAGCACTCGCGGCATCGCCTCACAGATAATTTGAGCACAGGCTGTCTTCTTTGATCTCGAATACAAAACGAAGAAAACAAAATTAGACCTTGCTATGGCGAAAAATGTAAGTTTTTGGCAAGCTGATGTAAAGGAGGATCTTGAGTGAAGAGCAGATTAAAGGGAGGCTACTCTGAGACTAAAACATCGCATTATTTGTTGTAGGAACGAGGGATCTGAGGTGTACTTGGATGACACTACAATCCTCGAGTACGCGCTTTCCGTATACGATACGAACTGTTCTGTCATCTTCTCCGGACGAGAGTTTGGAGAAAACCTGTATGGCTTTGGTCTAAACAAGAACGATGTCTGGCTCAGGGTAGGTATGAAAAACAGTATCAAGGTAGATATAAATTGAGACAATTTCACGGTTCATATCATAACTAATAACTAATTTATAGTTTCGTTTACGAAGATTGCACAAAAGATACACAAGTGAATAGCACTTTTCTGATACAATTTTAGAATTAAAAACTGCAGCACACAGCTGTTTAGATTCCATGTAATATGATGTTACAGCGCCGTCTCTCGGCACGCCTTATAACTTATTCTTTAGTGTCCATGTAATATGACGTGATAGGACCGCCTCTCAGCACTCCTCATGATTTATTCTTTAGATTCCATGTTATATGATTTTACAGGACCGCATCTCGGCACTCCTCATGATTTATTCTTTAGATTCCATGTGATGTGATGATACAGGACCGCCTCTCGGCACTCCTCATGATTTATTCTTTAGATTCCAGGTGATGTGATATTACAGGACCGTCTCTCGGCACTCCTCATGATTTATTCTTTAGATTCTATGTGATGTGATGTTACAGGACCGCCTCTCGGCACTCATCATGACTTACCTGGAGAGTGGATGTATTGACGATATTCAGCTGAGGTATGTCAGTCGGCGGGAATGCAGCTCCAAAAGAAACACCTACATCCAGTATGGTTTGGAACATACAGGTGGCCTTTTCATTGGTCTGGTGTGTGCCGTATTCTGTGCAGTCCTACTGATTGGACTAGAGCATATCATATACTTGTATCTCGTGCCTTACATCAGAAACAAGCGCTCCAACAGCAAGTGGAAAAGTAGGAACCTCGAGTTCATAAATCAGGTAATGTCTAAACCAAGGATATTGTAGAGAATTCCTGTGTGTGTTCACACAGGACCCTCTAGTGTGCTCCCAGCTCCTAACTTATACGTGATACGACGATGTAACTTATATATCGGAGACACGTCTGGTCAGTTAGGTAGTCAAAAGTCAAGAGAGCGCTGCCATGCGGGTTCGCGCCAAACTGTCACGGGACCTTCACGAGGTCTTGCGGTGTTCAAGTCACCTTGCGTCAGTGGTGACAACCAGGGGAGATAACTTCCCCCGTTTTTCACTACAATATTGCAAGGTATCATTTTGGTTTCAGGATCGGTTATAATTCTCAAAGACTCAATATGTACACATATTTTTCCTCTGTAGGTAAATACTCAATGTGAAAATAAGGTTTAACCTTAAGCTACGTGTTATTGCAACATAATTCGTTTCCGGTTTTTCAAACATATTGCTATAACCTTTGTAACAGTTTGAAAAAAGGCTCGAAAAATCATTTTCCGTTGTTATCTTTTTTGTTCCGAAATATTATCAAGAAATTAAGGGTAGTTGATTACCTGGCCAAATTTGAAGTATAATATCAACCTGTTATATTACACTGAAAGGGAGTGTATGTCGAGACAAATCGGTGTACAATATAGAAACAAGAAGGGACCATCAAAATGATAAATACGTGTGCTTTCGTTGCATCTGTAACATCGAGCAATGAATGAATCAATATCAACATTAATACTTTGTAGAAACACATTGAAATATGATTAGTGTATCTAAATTTCATCAATGAGAAGTTTTCATTTTCACATAGTAGTATTTACGAATTGGCTTGTAGGCTGATTCGGGGATGTCAATATCAAAACTGCGACGCCGACCATAACACTAAATGTTCTTAAACCAGGCAGTATTTGTCCATCTACATTTTATGGCCAACTATAACGTTTTGTCTACATTTGGGCCGACAGTTACGGTCTGTCTGATGTAAATGAATATTTTGATATAACAGTCTTTCTTACGTAAATCGACGCTTGGGTCAACTTAAACGATCTGTCTGATGTACATGTAAATCGACGCTTGGGTCGACTTAAACGATCTGTCTGATGTACATGTAAATCGACGCTTGGGTCGACTTAAACGGTCTGTCTGATGTACATATAAATCGACGCTTGGGTCGACTTAAACGGTCTGTCTGATGTGCATGTAAATCGACGCTTGAGTCGACTTAAACGGTCTGTCTGATGTACATGTAAATCGACGCTTTGGTCAACTTAAACGATCTGTCTGATGTACATGTAAATCGACTCTTGGGTCGACTTAAACGATCTGTCTGATGTAAATCAACATTTGGGCTGACGATCTTTCTTGGATGAATGTACATTTGTACTGATTGTTACGGTCTTTCTTGGGTAAATGGACCTTAGAGTCGCCCGTGACGGTCCCTCTGAGGTAAATAGTCATTTGGGCTAGCCATAAAGATCCTCTTGAAGTAAATGGACAATTGGGCCTACCGTAAATGCCTTTCTTGGGTAAATGGACGTTCGGGTCGACTGTGACTACATTTCTGATGTAAATAAACTATTTGGCAGTCGTAAAAGTCTTTGAGAACATTGACAGTTGGGCTGGCGGTATATGTCTTTCTAGCATAAATGAACATTTCATGGCCAACTGCTTGATCTTACTGATGTTAATGAACTACTGATCCGCCCGTAAAAGTCTTTTTTGAGATAAATGGATGGTTGTGCCGGTCGTAAAACCCATGTAAACGTTCATTTGGACCGACATCGCCGACGTAAATGGTTTTTATGATGTAAATGGGCGGTTGTTATTGAAATCAGAGAAGAATCTCTCAGAGGCTGCATATTGTGATGGTGATTAGAAATATTTTTTTGCAGATTAAAACCTCGTTTTACAGTTGCGTGTACTTATAGTTTCTTTTAAAAGTTAAAAATAATGACTTTACGAAGAATTTCTTGAAATTGGTAGAACATGATGCCGGTGTTGGATTTGTATACAGTATTTGTATCAATGACAGTGTTAACACTTTATCAATCTCTACTTCAGCGTCTCTACCGAACCATTATGAGTCACAAATTGGTATCACCCCAACAGACAGCTCGTGAGATGGTCAAACTAATGAAGGACAGACAGTTCGCTAGACTTTTTCAGAAAAACGAGCTCAGCCGGCCAGTAAGTCTCTATATCTACTGTTTGTCTCCATTCTCTACACTAGACTAGAACGGTCAATACCTGATGTTTACGATCTGCGATCTGTGTTTACTTCCGGTTCAAATAGGTTTTGATCTATGTGATCTTTCTAAAATTGAGTTCAATTTTAATTCAAATATTCAATAATAAAGTCGTGAAAGTTTTCTCTAATCATAGCCACTTCTTTCTCTCGACTTGTACAGGTAAAGTTTTTTTCCTTTCAGAGATTAATAGAATCTTTCATTCTGTTAAGGGTGAAATAGTGGATCTCAAAACGAGAGGGGATTATTAAGTTGTCAAACACGAGGCTTGCCGAATGTTCGACAGCTTAATAATCTCCCCCAATGGTTGTAATTCCCTTATTTCACCATAAAGGGAAGGATGCTTATTTTTCTCTGTCCTTGTCCTCGGCAGCATCGCGTTTTTCCAATTTCATTGTCATTTCCCTCAAGTTGAGATCCTCTTATATCACCTCAAAGGACGTTAAAGATTCTATTCATCTGCGCATGCTTTTACAATGACGACGTAATAGTATGACGTCACAGTAACAATTAGATGATGTAACTTTTCAATAACACCTCGTCAACGATGCAGAGCATTGCAAAAACAACAAATGACGTGTTAAACAGCCGAAGATGGTAAGAATAATCATTCACATCCTTGTCGGTTAGATGGGGGTGATATCTGCGCTCGAGAAAAGATTATTAAGTTGGAAATTACTCGAAAATCACAATGTTTGCCAACTTAATAACCTTTCACCTCGGGGTGAGGTCATGGTCTCTAGTGTATATGCACCTTAAACATGCTGCCTTTTATGGTTACAGAAAGGACCCCCTCAGAACGACACGACCGGCTTACGGTTTATGGATCTCACAGACAGTATAATGAGGTGATACATACTTCCTTTTCTTTTTTATCTACTTAATAACACAAATACTTAATGACATTTATTTCGTAGATTGATGAGGAAACAATTGAATATCGTTCAGTTATGGAAAAATGTGTTTTAATAATGTTTGGAAACCTTTGACTTATCAAAACTCCAATGTCTCGTACATTTTTTTCAATAAAAGTGACTAGTTGTTTAAATATATATTTTATGGTAAGAGGTTTGTGTCAGCCTTTTAATGATAACTGCACGGCAAATATTGGCATTCCTGTAGGCCCCTATACATTATTTTGTATTTTCGTCACAGATCTCATAAAAACCAGGACAAGTCTGTCTACGACACGAATGAAAACAGCGTCATCTTCAAGACCTCCACGTCCGGAGCTTTGTACCAGGTTTCAGAGGAAAATGAAGACGACATTGAAGAGGATTTATTCGATAACGTAAAATTCACCGTTGAAGACGAACAGTCATGCGAGGAACAAGAACAAACAAGTAGCGATGTTTCGTCAACGTTAGTAACTGTAGAAGTTGTGCCAAGCTCCGTGGCAACACCCAATAACCTCAAACGCCTTGAGGAAGGTGGTCAAGAATTACACCAAGGCAACAAACCGGAAACAAGTCCTGCTAATAAGGTTCAGGTTAACTGTTTATGGAAAAGACATTCATCGGCTAAGTACCCCGAGAGGGATGCAGACCCAATGATCCGTGGAGCAAGGACTAAACGGATACAATCCGAGACTTTTTCGGATAATCGAATATTCCCGACAGTTCCAGATAATAAATATTCGGATAAAAGTTTTTGTGGGAAAAAGCAATATGTAAAACAGCTTTCTGATAACAGTTATTCTGATAAAACAACGCACAATGATTTACACCGAAAGTTTGGCACATGGCCCTCTCTTCCTGCCATGGAAAACCGTCCGTCGGAAGTCTTTCAGAGGATTAAAGAGAGTCACAGAAGTAGTCCTTCTATGACGTCATCTATGCAGGAACCATCATCTTCAGACACAGCAAGACTTATCTCATCTCCCGATAATGATTTCAACGATTCAGGTGATAACGTTAACTATTACAAACATTCTTTAAAAATGAAAGATAATCGAGTAAAATCGACTATCAGACGACACGCCATTGCCAAGTTTCGTCGTCAGTCATCGTCGGTCTTGGATGAATGTGCGGTAGATGCGCTGACAAAAGAAGACCTAATGGTATTATGGAAGAGATCTGAAATTGAGCTTCAGACAAAACTCAACAAGGTGACATTACAAAATGCACATTTGAAAAAACTTCTACGGATGGTAGATAAAAGACGAACAAGTAAGGGGAGTGACGAGCACGTGGACTCGGAGTTATTGTGTACCCGACTGTGAATTCCGGAATACCGGGGGATAGACCCGGAGTATGTGTACCCGACTGTGACTTCCGGAATACCGGGGAATAGACCCGGAGTATGTGTACCCGACTGTGACTTCCGGAATACCGGGGGATAGACCCGGAGTATGTGTACCCGACTGTGAATTCCGGAATACCGGGGGATAGACCCGGAGTTATTGTGTACCCGACTGTGAATTGCGGAATACCGGACTATAGACCCGGAGTTATTGTGTACTCGAGCTTGACATCTGGAATAATTGAACGATGATTTCTAGTCCTGAAGTTATTGTGTAAGCTACCCACCGCGACCTCCGGAATACGGAGGAAGGGTTAAAATTTTTTTAGACTCGAAGATAATATTTACTCTATAGTGAATTCTGGGAGACGGACAGGAGTATTTGTGTATTCGAATGTGATATTTCAGAATGTCGGGAGGAAAATGAGCATCCTGACTTGGATTTATTTTGTACCCATTCGTGACTTCCGGAATATGAAGGAAATGATATTGGCTTATCGTGTTCATACAATTGTGTCATCCGAAATAAAACGCAATAGAGCAGGCTAATTGTGTTCCCAGCTGTGTCATTTCTGATATCACTTAAATGGTGATACTCACACCTGTGGAAATCCGAAATTTGGAGTGATATTCCAGGAGTAACCAAAACCCCAGGAGTTAATGTGTACTCGGTTGTATCATTTTAGAGCATCGAGGGAGTACAGTTCTGATGCTCACAGCTGTGTACTCGTCTGTGTTATTTCGGAATATCGAGAGAATGAGAAATTACGAAAGTTCTGTAATAGAAAGGAGACGAGATGATAAAAATGGCTCAACAGTGCTGTAGAATAACTGTGATGTGTCATCACGGTGGATACACTTCCGGGGCTGAGGAGATTTTAACGACTTCATTAATTTTGTAAGATAAGGATTATATGTTAATTGTTACATACGTAAGACTATCAGCATCTCCACAGTCCGTCCTATACCTCATTATTCTACAGACCATGAGTATGAGAAGGGAGATAACTTTGATACAGCGTATGTCTGACTACTGTTCACCAAAGACACGTGTCGATAACAATTTTTGATTGCCAGTTATATTGTTTCCCGTTAAAGATAATTATGCAGTCCTTTTCTTACGAACGTACGGAATAATTAATTGCTGGAAACAGGCATTATTCCATACCGTTTGTAACAGCTGTACATCGCATCCTCACCTTATCAGTATTTAAAAATCATTGTTACAAAACAATTTCAAATTTTTCTTTTTCTTTATACTGAACATATCACCTAGTTAGATACAAATCTTAATCCTTAAAGTATTTTGGCAATACCTTCATTACTGTAGATGTTTATCATGCAACTGGCACCGCCATTGTCGGAATACACCTGCCACATATATTTTTGCTGTATTTGCCATTGACGGAAAATAACTGTATTTTAGCACCTGCGTTTATTCGGCATAATTATTCTATGAATTTACTTAGATATTACGTTTAGAAATATAAATAGTTGTTGAAATAAGCGATTAAACATGCTGTAATGAACAAGTTGATCTATGAAAATCCATAAAATCGCTGTTATATCCGATGAAATTTGGAACTATGTTTCCGCGCGGAGCAATTATTTTGGCGTCCGTCATCAGGCATCATTCAGCCAAACGTCAATTTCAGGTAAACACAGATTGAGTAACAAAACTGTTTAAGTTTCAATAGTCTGATTTTCAATCTGTGTTGCAGGATGAAAGGAATACATGGTCAGTGTCTTACAATATAAGCTGTATTTTTGCTCGGGACAAAAAGACAAAAGTGGCGAACCTCTAGTTAGCCACATTTGTCTGTACGTTCCGAGCCAAAATACAGCTTATATTTTTAAGACGTTGACCATGTATTCTCTTTGTATCTCAATCCTGTTACGATAATTATCCGGAACATAAAAATGTTGAAACATGTGATTTATACACACCGTAAGCATGACTTCCTGAAAGTGACAAGATGTTTCTACCTGCATTTGTAACACAGTTCAATTTGTGGTTTTGCTTTTTTGATAATTTAAGACATTTTAAAACGGACTCGAGGCTGACTGTATGTTTTTACCTTTCATTTTATCATTCGGATAGGTAATACATTTAGAAAAAAAACCTACGATTAAGGCAAAATACAGTTAAATTTAAAACCACATTTCAAACAATTTTAACCACTAAGCTGGCTTAAGTCAAAATAGTAAGATAAACTTATTGTAGATAATTTCGTGTTTATAAAGAATATTTAAACGTCTGTAGATAAGGAGTTGTCTCCCCTACATCACAGATATAACTAAGCACGCCCCAGTGATATCATGCACCAACAGTAACTCAATAACGTTAAGTAATTGTTTTGTGTTAAATTTTCACCGGGACGAGTAACACACATGGAACTTGTCTGTTTAATTAATATATTGCAAATGTACAATATTGAGAAGGAAAAAATAAACAAAAACAAAACAGAAAAAAAACAAACAAACAAAATCAGTGTCAAAATTTTGCGGAAGTCGTAGGCTCACCCTCTTGACGTTACGCTTAATCTGACTGTAATTCCATGGCAGCTCCGCTATAACTCACCTTCTTCTTTTGGTAAGATTTGTTCACACAGCTTGGCAACAGGGACGTTGAATAATCAAACAAACCGTAGTTTAAACAGCAGTAATATATATATCTGATAAAAACTAATATTCTAAACATTTTTTATACCACTAAGATGTATTATTGAAAAAAATATGTAGTATTATGAACACTTATGTAATATCATATATCAACTCGCAGCTGAACAGAAACATCGTCAGATCACAATGCTGATTGGTCAATATTGAAATATATATCGTTACTATGGATATAGTATTAGTTTTCTTACAAGAACATTATTGATGTATTAATATTTGAAGTAAAACACTGATGTAGTTGTAACAAATAATATTGTTGTTGTACACTTGTATTTTCTGTATGCCGTGATTGTGTTCCTTTAATGTCCATGTGAGTTACGTATACGTGTACTGGAGCATGATCACGGTAAATGTGTCGCCTTAAGGCACTTTCAAACGCATATATATATATATATAAATACTCACCATTTTGTGTTGTATGGAATTATGATGCATTTTCACTCTCTATCTACTTTAAGTATTTCTCATCTTGCCAGTTTTATACGTGTAGAGTGGATAACTACGGATGCAAATTTTGTAGGCTCAAAATGCAAATTGGAGATAAATTCATCAGTTATGGTATTTTTGTACAGGATGATGTGACGTATATTAGCAAGAGATTGTTTTCCATTGGAAAAACCCACATTATTTTCTCGAATATTTGCTCATAGATTTAGTATGTAAGTTTCTGTAATTTTTGTGGAGGGGTATATTCCGTACGTAATTGTAATAATTGTATAATTGTCTGTAGAAATATATAAGCAATACTATTGAGTGTGTGCAGACATATGTCGTAGGGTTATGAGTGTGTACATACATGTGTCGTAGGGTTATGAGTGTGTACATACATGTGTCGTAGGGTTATGAGTGTGTACAGAAATGTGTGGTAGGGTTATGAGTTTACACCGATAAGTTTTGTATACTATTTGTAACGTTGGAATTGATTTTTGTCATCTCTTGTCGAATGAAATATGCAATGCAATAATTTGATTAAATAAACAACATATTAGTTTGTTTTCGAAACGATCATTCAAAGAAAAGTCGTGATTATGAACATGTCATTGTCATGCAGTGTTGACGTACATGGTAACATTGTGGATTATAAACTGTAAGATGGCAACTTAATTGTGTGTAAGTTTCAAATATAGCTTGTTAACTTATATTGATGAAACACTGGTCCGCAAATACGTTGCGAAATGTTGATATAGCAAAAGGTTATATCATATTTGAAAATTGTCATCAGAGCAGCAGTGGACGATTATAGATGTTGTATGATAACTAAACGTAAAGCGTGGTATCCACATGTTTTACCTGTCAGATCCGTGATTAGCGAGGATTTTATGACGTCACAGACTTCCATTTTTATATCGTAATGTAGTGAAAATGTTTTGAGACAAAACATAATTGTTGAATTAAATTCATCTAGCGAAAATGATGTTGTTTTCACAAGATCTACAGAGCCCTATATCTATGGTGTATGAGAATCACCTTACTGATTCAAGGTCATTCTTCCTTTGATAAAACATCGTTTTCTGAATAAACACAATGAACACGATATCTGTGGCTTGTTAATTAATATTTAACTGCTGTCTTCAACCATCAAAGAATCAGTTGTATGAGAAAAACCCATTGGTTATCTCCAATATTCGTTAGAAGTCACGAGGCTGAAGTAAAAGGTCATGCCATTTAGAGATAGAGATGGGACGTTGTGTCCAGTAGAGATTAGTGTGGAACGTCACATCCGCTAGGTTAAAACGGGAGGTCACTTCCGGTAAAGACTGAGATGGAAGTTCATGTCCGGCAGTGGTGAAGAGGTGGGAGTTCATGTCCGGTTGAGATGGGAGGTCATATCCGGTAGAGGCATAGGTAGCAGTACACAGTTTCTCGGTGTGGCCATGGGTGATTTTTTTGCTCATTAGATTACCCCATTATAAAGGTTTTAATTAAAAATGAAAAAAAAAATCCTTGGGTCCTGTCATGTTAAAGTGGACAATGTGGGGTTTCATTTTTTCAGGATAATATTTTAGCTTTGTGTTGGAGATTACTATTTGGGCAGTCTCGAATCTGTGTCTACGCACCAAAAACTAGCTTTACAGGAAGTGAAATTTTCATAGTGTTCACATGTGGTCATGTTATGAAGAATTTCCGAGTTGGAATTTGCTGAAATGTAAGTACTTTGTTACCATGACAGTGTTGTTGATTGTAAGATAGGTGTTTAGAATTAAATTTCTCCTAGAAAGTTGTAGTGTTGGGTTGGAATTAGCAGTATTTTTGCATTTTTAGCATTTTTTCAGTAGGTAACCATGACAATCAAATGTCAGA